GTTTCTTCCCACTGTGTGATTGGTCTAATTTACCTTCGGAGCGGCCTGATTGGCCGTCGTCCGATGGTCTATTCATCTTTCGCTCGGCTATTTCAGCCGGCGTTAGATGTCGCTCCCCTTACCTAGTGACTATCCTAGTGATAATCACTAGTAACGAGAAAATCTCGTTACAATTGGAAAACGAGGTGAGATCCTGACGAAAACTATTCCAGCAATGTGCTACCTGAGGCGAAACTTTTCCATCCCAACCAAGCTTATCAATCCAAATTTCCTGTAGGAGCATCTTTCCTCTGATGACTACAGGAGAGAGAAATCCGAGAGGGTCCTAGAGCTGAGCAATTTCTGAGAGAATAATCCGCTTGGAGACGGTCAAGTTCTGCGATGGTTTAGTTGAGAAGACGAAGTTATCTGAGTTGGGCTGCCACGATAACCCCACTATCCTGGTCTCTGAGTCCTTGTAGACTCGCTGATCATTGGAGGTGCTGTCAGGATCGAGCCATTTGAGTAGGTCTGAGCTGTTACTATGCCATTTTGCCAAAGGCATCCCTCCAGCAGCACAGAGATTGCGAACTTCTTGAGCTGTTCTTACGAGCTGGTCATGCGTATCTGCACCTCCACAGATATCATCAACATATCTTCCTTTCACGATGGGATCGAGGGCCAAAGGAAATCTGTACCCTTCATTCTCAGCGAGCTGATCATTGGAGGCTTCTGAGACAGCCCGGTGATGAGGTAGTCATGCTGGAGCTAGCGCTGTGCCTGTGGAGCCAAATACAATCCAACCGAAACTCGTGAGCTGGGCAACTGGAGAATCTGCCCCCTGTTTAATAATGCTGGGCTTAATGATTCGACCAAAGACATCAGCGCCGATGAGCAGATCAATAGGAGCAGGAATTCGAAAATTCGGATCTGCTAAATTTAGATCCTTGAGATGATCCCACTCGAGATCCTCTGCTGAGAAGGTCGGTAGAGATGCCGTGAGATGATCAAGAGCATGAGCGATAAATTCGATGCGTTCTGCTGAGTAGATCGATTGTAGCATGAGATGAACTTCGCCGGACGTTGTCCCAAACGATGACTCACCCACACCAGAAATGTGGATGGAGCTACGCTGCTTCTTCAGCTTCAATTGACGCACGAGAGATTCCGAGATGAGCGATAGTTCTGAGCCTGGATCCAGAAGTAAACGTACTCGCTGAGAAGAACACTGAGCAGGGCTGATGAGCAGAGCAAGACTTGTAGCGAGTAGGGCCCAGTCGAGAACTAAGAGAAGAGCTATGAGCAGAGCAAGAGATGGCCGTTTGGGAATGTACTCGTCATTGCTGTGATGGAGCAGCTGGCGTGCTCTGGATGACCTCCCCAGCATTGTCACTGAGGGTACTCCTGATGACTGAGCAGGTTTAGTTGCTTGCTGAAGCTGAGACTGAGGTTGAGACTGTGTCGTTTGAGGAGAAGGTCGAATCTGATTCTGCCTGCGAGAGCGATCAAGGTGGAGGTGTGGTGCCTCTCCTGGCACGGCCTGCACGTGCGAGATGTTTGGCAGACTCTGATGCTGTGCTTCCCCAGACAGTTGTAGCACAGATAGAGCTTGTCAACGACTTCCTGCCTTGCGATGGGCGATAAATTTTTGAATTCGCTGCAAGAGGCAATGTAATGGTCCCTCTTGCAGTACGAACAAGGGTAGCCAGCATGAGCCCAAGAGGTTGAGTGTGTTGACTGTATTAGAGCTGGACCTTGAGACTTCTGAGCTGTCTACTGAGAAGGACGAGAGGCTGACATCTGGTTGACCTTGGCGCTGGTCTTCATCATAAATCGAGTCTGAACGACGGTTTGAGAAGGACGAGATGAGCTTGTTATTGAGAGCGACTGCGATCCAACCTCCAGAGTCTCCATTGCTCGTGATCGACGTTGTAAAAAGTCGAGGAGATGGCCAGGAGTAGGATACTCTGTGGAGGCGCCGATCTTATTCTCCCATGCCTCCCGAAGCTTGTTCGATAGTCGACGAGTGAGGACATGAACGACCACAGGACCCCAATGATCAGTTGGCTGATCTAGGGCTTTAAGAGCACTAAGAGCTTCAGAGATCGAGCTGGTCAAGGGATTGAGATCCGAAGCACTGTGTCATTTCACTTGAGCTAGATTCAGGAGCTGGTCAAGGTGAGCTGCAACGAGTAAGCGCTTGTTCTCGTATAGTTTAGTACTAAGCTTCAGGGCAGCCGTGATACGAGTAATGGCTACTTGTCACTCGTTCGTCTTCTTCCCCGATTATTACCGATACTCGGGGACACTCGTCACCGAGTGTCCTTATTCCTTGAATTACTTCTGTGGGGGTTAGCCGAGGGATGTCTCCGTCTTCCGGGGTTACGTGGTGTCCAGTTAGTTCGTGGGGGGTTTTTCTCCTTTCTTCCAGTCGTCTTCTGCTCGCGTGGGTACCGCGGCGAGGGGAAAAGGGATGAGGGGAAGGAACAATTGGGGAATGGGTTGCCCAACGGTGACAGTTTTCCTAACCTAATTTAACCTATGCAAATACCTTATCCTAATGAACATTTACCTTATCCTAATCAAATTAACAGTGGATTTATTAGGGGGCAGGGGAGGGGTGCAAATACTTGCCTCGTCATACAGTATTTACAGAGTGATTACCAGATCTACTAGTGGGAAGAAAATATATTTGGCACAAGAAATTTTTTTCTCAGTGCAGTAGCACATCCAGGCACAGTTTTTTATTTGGCGGAGAACCGATGGTTGTTTCAAGGAGGAATGTCGAAACTTCGCCAAATAATTCTTCCGTGGGATCCATCTCCTCGTCGCTATCGGTTTTATCAAATAAAT